GCAGTTCCTACTATCTCTGAGTTTATTTTTACATATAGCTAGAGTCTACTTACTCGTCATATGAAACCTATGCTTTCTATCAAACTGAATCTAAAGTCAGGTAATTGAGGAACTTATATACTTTTTAAAATCTTTAACTTTTGTGAGCACTCTGGGAATAGCAAGGCTTGATTTCCCATGCACTACCCCAGTGAAATATAACATGACGGACAATTAAAAACACTCACTAGAGGAAAAGGGTCCATAAATACCTATATTCTCAATGATGGGGGAGCCTAGCACATCAATGCATAAAATAAAGCTGAAGCATTTTCAAAATCTTCAGCCAAAAGATTTCAGTCCTAGGCTTTGTCCAAAGGTTCCCAGTAGCACAGATGTCAGTCTTCACCCAATTTGATTCACCCCACATGATATTGAAAAACAGTCAGAGATAATGGATATTGCAAATTCTGTTGGCCGTAATAATATTTTGGCAAAAATACTGAAGACATGTTGCATTACTAGCCAAGCTGTCCAACTACAGCTACAATGGCATCTACCTGATAATGTGGAAAACTCTCCATTGGTTGGAATCACAGCAACACAAAGAAAGATAGTTGTGATTGGAGGTCAGTCATGTCAGCTCCAGAACTTCTCTGCTGGAATTCCTCAAGGTTGTGTCTCAGACCCAATCATCTGCAGCTGCTTCATTAATAACCTCCATAAGGTCAGAAGTGGAAATGTATGCTGATAACTCAATGTACCACATCATTCACAGTACCTCAGATACAGAAGCAGTCCATGTACAAATGCAGCAAGACCCGCACAATAGCCAGGTTTGGAATAACAAATAGCAAATAATATTTGAGCCACACAAGTGCCAGGCAATGAACAATTCCAATAAGACAGAATCTTGACATCACTCCTTGACACGAATGGCATTGCTGAATTGACCACTGTCAAAATCCTAGGGATTTCCATTGACCAGAAACTGAACTAGTTACATAAATTCTGTGGCTACAAGAACAGGTCAGAGACCATGAATCTTGTAGCAGATAACTCACCACTTGACCACCTTCTACAAGGCACAACTCAGGAGTTTCATGAAATATTGCTCATTTGCTTGGATGAGTGCAGCTCCAACTGCACTCAAGAAGCTTGTCACTATCCAGGACAAACAACCTATTTGACTGGCACCATGTCTATAAACATTCACTCCCTCCACCACCTCATATTAGTAGCAGCAGTATGTACCATTTATAAGATGAATTGCAGGAAGTCACCAAGTCTCCTTAGAGAAAGCCTTTCAAACCCAAGACCATTACCATCAATAAGGACAAGTACAGCAGATGTTTCTGAACATCACCACCTGCAAATTCCCCTCCAAAAACCTGCTGTTCCTTCATTGTCACTCAGGCAAATTCCTGAAACTCCCTCCCTAATGACATAATGGGTCTACCTAAACCAAATAGACTGCAGCACTTTGAAGGCAGTTCACCACTATCTTCTCATGGGCAATTAGTGATGGGCAATGAATGTTGAGTTAGTCAGTGACACCAAATCCCCAGGATTAATTAAAAAAAACATGGTGCAACGGTTCAATCATGGGACTTCATTATCAGCACCTTCCTCTGTTGTGACATGAGCTAATGTTGCTTGAGGTAATCTGTAGTCTTTGCTGAACAGTCAAAAGCAAGCAGCCATATCTACTCATATTGTACAGGGAACAACTATCTGAATCTTAGCAAAGAACATTGTGTCATAGACATCTGCCTCAATGAAATTTGTCACCTGACGTAGCCATACATGCAGCCTCACAGCCAAGCAAAACAACTGTGGCCATGAATTTTTATGCTTGTCAGTCATTCCAGCTTGGAACAGACAATATTCCAATATCTCCTTGTGTGTCACACATTGTTGGATAAGGGAAGCTATCTAGGATCTGTATTCTGAGACAGCCAGATGCACTT